TCCCATCAATTTTTGTAAGTTCAATAATACATTTTACTTCAATAGAAGATCCGCTAACATTTAATAAACTTATACTAAAGCTTTCTATCTTTCTTTTAATGTACTGATCTAGTTCGAGCCCATTTTCCTTGGATTCCGTTTTGTATGCAAACCTTATTGGTCTACAATAGACTGTTGATGATGACTTTTGATTTCTCCAAATAAGCAAAATTTCATTGCTGTTGTTATATCCAGTTAAATGCAATGGAAACAGACACGTAATGAATAACAATTTTTTCACGTTTAAAATATTGCTCATGTCCGTACTGACAAAACTTGTTTATAAATGCTTTGGCTAGTAGCACCATCAAAACAAGCCTTACACGTGAGTGTCAATGTCTTTATTTATTTGCCGTTCGAAATCAAGTGCTTCTGCACAGATTCCTGAACTTCACAGATTCTAAGCTGTATAAAAAACATTAAATCTTTTAATGGAACTGAAGCTAAACAGTAATCCACTGTTATATTTGCTGGATAACATTTCAACTTTGCATCCCTGACATCATTGAAAGCGGGGTAAATGTTATATTTTTTCTCCATGACTACACTTCTAATCAAATAATACGAAGCTTAAATCAGACTGCCAACAAATATAAAGGCCAGTATTTTGTATGCTGAATTTTTATTTGCTTTGTGTGTATTTGAAGTATTTAAACTTTAATTTTTTTGGTAGCAATAACGTTAGATTTATCTCCTAATTTTTTACTAGCAACAAAAAATAATTCATTGGATGAATGAGATTAAAGCAATTCAGAATAACGTTGTTTTATAGTTTTATTAGAACTATCATTAAATGCAACTGGTTTTCGATAACGTCTATTTGTAGTTGATTCATTGTCTTTTTTTCTGATAATTAAATATTTATTAAGCCAATTAATTGATAACCAAAAATTATACTGCCTAAAGGCTGAATAAATTTTAGTATATCTTCAGTATTATTTTGTTTTTAAATATCAAGATTAACTTTTTTTGTAAAAACTATGAATTTCTAAGTTGAATAAAACCATATATAAGTAATTCTTATATCAAAGATTTTGTATTTAACAGTATAACATTACAATATATATGCCGCGTGGATTACTTATTTTTGCTAGCATGGCCTACTATATTGTAATATAGTAGGCCATGCTCGCTAGCTATAAGTGTTAGTACTTAAGATTAAAAGTAATTAAATTACTGTCAGTGTTATGTGTTAAGTTAGTGTAAATTAAATAACTGTTAGTAATTAAATTACAAACAATTACCAAAAATATCTCAAAAAAAATTTATTAAAAAAGAGGTAATTCTCAATCTTGGAGTCAGTAAAACAGAGTCCATGTTGTTTGATACAGGAAAATCTCTCTCAAGACAAACAAACACAATAAATGTTTCTTACAAATTCAACTCAATATATTTCACCTTGTGTTACAAATACCTTGGTATTAACTTGAACCCGACACTAAACACGAGTTATTTTAACAATGCTTATAAAAGAGCTTGTGACAGACTATGACTACTTAACAAATTTAGATATTTGTTAACACCTTTTGCAACAGAACTTTTCCAGTTTTCATTTTCCAGTTGACTCTTATACCAGTTTTAACCTACTGTGGAAATCATTGCCTCAATCTTCCAAAATCAAAAACAGATTAGCTAGACTTTTTGCATACACGTACATCTTGTTAAACAAATACAAACAGCAAGCACGAAATGAACACAAAGTCACCATTCTTGTAAAGTCTTGTTGCATTTTGTATATTAACAAAGCGATTCATTTTTGGTTTATCCTGCTCAAACATTACAATCTACTTTGATGTTGTCACCCATTCAAAAGCAACAAGAAATAACAGCAAGCTAATTAAAATTCCGAATTACCAACTTGAATTTGCTAAAAGTTCTTTCAATTAATCTGTTGCAAGATTGTATAATGATCTACCATTAGAAATTAGAAAAATCAACTTCTTGACTGAATTTAAAGTAATGTTTTTTATAACATTTCTAACAACCTTATTACTTCAATTAGTTATAAATTTTATTATATTCTATAACAGGTCTTACATTGATAACAAAATTGTAATAATTTCTGAAGTCACTTATACTGAAAATAAAAATAAGTAAACAAAACATTGTTGCTATGCTATGCAAAGTAAGGTATACATAGTAATCATAAAAATTACCCTTATAAAAAGTGTCAATCTCATTTTAATACACGCCCAATACTTTGTACATAGTGCAAATAAAAAACTGTTAAAACAAAGTTAATGTAAAAATGGGTTGTTGCTATGCATAATTAAGTATTAAGGAGATGAGCATTCAATAGTAACTCGACTAAAGCATCATACAGCTTAAATATATATTAGACAGCACATGGCAAATTTTGTCAATTATTTGTTACAGTGCAACAAAATATAAATTCAATATAATTTTTTTTCTAAATCTGTGATTTTCAAAGTTTCACTGAGAAAAAAAGCTATGACAAATTAATTCCACGCGATAGTTTATCTTACCTCTGAATGCTCTAAAAAAGCATTTACTAATTTTGTGTTTTAACAACGCAGATGTTATTGAAATATCACACAATGCTGATGTCTTCAAAATTATTTATTTATAACTATAATTTTTTTTTCCTTTTTAAATTTTAATATTTAAATGCTCAGAGTCATGGTTACTATGGAATTTAATAGAAAGAAATTAAGAATAAATTTCTCTTAACAAACATAGTAACTTAAATTAAATAAGATTTTAAAATTAGGCAACTAAACAATTTTCCAATTTTGTCTACCTAATGGCCCACTGTGCTTAAGTTTCTTTTCTAGAATTTGACCTATTCTTGAAGGCCATGAATGTTTAACCTTGATTATGCACTCTCCTTATTTGAAAAATGATACACCTTTGATTGTATAAGTTCAACACAAAGCAACACAACGGATATCAAGTTTAAGATACCATCAATAATGTTGACGACTGAAAAAATGAATTCTTCCACCACTTGATTTTTGACACTTACGGTGCAAAAATCAAGTGGTGGTAGAATTTAGTTTCTAGATTCTATTCCGAATCTAGAAACTAACACATCAGTTTGATATAGTTAATGATATACATCTTGCAAAAGTAATTAACTCCCTGTCACGTCAAAGTTAATTTTTTGAAAATTTTTATAAGAAGGTGTCATCGACAAGACCACATTAAAATGGTAATTTTCCTTTGCATATAAAGCATCTGTGCAAACAGATATGCTCAAACTATATGATGCTCAAACTTATGATTTTTAAAATGTTTATATTAACTTTTTTATAAAAAATAATAAAACAGTGATCATGACCCGCTACTTTACTAAATATAAAATAGAATTAGTCTCTATGGTTAAGGCTATGAACTTAATTGATGAAACACTTAAATTTTTAAAGATTATGAATAACTTTGTTTTTATAAAAACCTGTGAAAATGATATCCAAAAATATTTTAATAACCCAGCAATTATTTTATAGTGGATTTGTAGTGAACCTGTATAAGCATTTTGAGCAGTTATTTGGAGTTTTGCTCCTTGGTTAATTAAGGCATTCGCTAAAAGTGGCAAGCCAATAACTCTTCAACATGTAATATAAAAGCTAATTATAACAGCAAGTTGTCGGCTAGCCAATTTTGCGGCTGCCACTAATGGTCCACTATGTAACTAATGAGCCTTACTAGAGTGGAAAAACAGTGAGAAACTCTCAAAATGCCTAGAAAGGTCAACTAAAATTCCGCTGTATAATGTTTTCTGGGAAGTTTAACAATTTGCTGTTAAAATTTTTTTCATAATTAAAATATAATGCCAATAATATAACAGAAAAACAGAATTCTGTAACGAGTGACCAGAGCAAGTAACTTTCTACTTCGCTGTGCATCAAAACAAATATTTATAAAACTGGTTGTTTATAGTGGGGTATTTTCTCTGCTCTCTGTATGTATATATTGTATGCACATTTTTTATTCGCGCTTATTTGATATTTTCAAGTTATGTTTTTAAAAACTACATCTATAAATTTCCTTTAGCATTTTCTTTTCACAAAGAGATCACCAATAATAAGCCTTCGAAGCGCTAGAGGGAGTAGTGACAGAGATGGCTCTGTAACAGCAACACTTTTCCTTCATGTTGTTGAAATATACTTCATAGAAATTGTAGTCGTTTTTTGTTCTTTTAATAATCTGGTAAAGTTTATGCAAATATGATTTGTGAAAATAATGAGCATTTGCACAACAAACAACAATGTTAGAGAAATTGTTGAGAGAGTGAAAGTGAAAGTGAGAGAGTGAAAGAACTTTTTTAAACGAAAATCCTCACAGGGTCATGAGATTTTGGAACTTTCGTTTTTATGTAGCCAACAACAACACAATCTTCTTTATATTATATTATTTACAAAAGTTAAATACATAAATACATATATTACTTACAACATTTAAAAAACTTTTTTTTCATAAAACTAAAAACTCTTGTAAAGATGCCTCTCTTTTGTAAAGTTTTACAAATACTAATATCTTTATTGTTGTCGGTGTTCTTTAAAAATGAACAACTTGAGTCGGTTGGACAACTTTGAGTGGTTAATAAATAATCTTCTATAAGAACATCGCACTCTATTTTACTAACGTTTGATGACAAATTTTGAACAAAAGGTCTATGCGAGGATTTGTTGCATATTTTCTTATAAACATCCTGATTATAAACCATATTATTGGCATTTAAAGTCAATAGACTGTTAATCAACGGCAACGATGCTCTAACATCGATGTTTTTTGATTGCACGCAAACTTTAGATAAAGTTTTACTTTTTGTACATTTTAATGTTGATAAGTGCGGCGAAGAAACGGATTTCTCTATAACGTTGTTTTCTATAACAAAAAAAAAAAAAACACAGCAAATAAAGAATAGGTTTTCAGGCATTACGTCTTTAAACGCATGTTTCAAATAAACAAATAACTTTAATATAAGTCAAGAAACCTACCTGCGTTACAGTTGTTGTCGACAACAGTTTTTATAGAACTTTGGTTACCAAATGCACTTGAGGTAATTTTTCTTTGAGTATCATAAATAGACATTTCATGAATGTTAACCAGAGAACAGAAAAGTGGAAGAAAACTCTTTCATTAGCAGCTACTGTTTTGAGTAGCATTTCAGACGCTGCACGTTTTATTTTATGAATACATATTTGAGAAACTTCATTGACAAGCAAATGTTCTTTGCTTTCTCTTGTATACCTGCATTCTGTTTTTAACGGCTTCATATCAAAAAGTTCGTTGAAATCAAAATACGAAGTAGTTAGAACAAGTTCAATATTTTTTGAATAAAGCAGCTCACCCATTTCTTTAAATACGATAGCTTCTCTTATTGATGAAGGACAAACATTTCCTTTATGAGCCACTAAAAATGAAAAACGATATTTAATACATTGTATTTTGTTCACTCTATTGATCTTTACAGTTGATTTGAGAGTTAAAAAATTGATAAATTGTTTTGAACAATTTTATCATTGTTTGATATTTAACGATGGAAAACAGGAATGTCCAAAAGACTTATCAGTTAAACAATCAGTCTTATGACTTTATTGCATTTCTCATAGACAAAGTCTGTGTATTTGCTTTTTTGTTTGTGTGAGGGACCCAAAAAACGTTTAAAAAACAGTTTTGACATTTCTTTTTTAAAGAAAATGGGATTAAATATCTTACCTTGTTTAGCTAAGGAGTATTTTGATATTTCGAAATCTTCTATTTTTTCATCCAAGTCGATGTGTATTTTAAATTCATTTAAACTTTTTCTTTCGACTAAATAAAAAACAAACCTAATATGTTAAATATTATTCAAAAAATAAATTTGCAAAGATTTATTACGAATGTTTATTACGATTGTTTATTAGCTTAACTTAAAGAGTTGATTTAAATATTTGTTGTTGTTTGTTGCTATAAATATTTAAGGGATTTTAACCAAGAAGTTAAAGCCTCATACTTTATTAATGTCGTTTATTTAGTTCAAGTCGACCAAGAAGGGGCCCGACGTTCAATACCTCGGGCCTCTTTATTCTAAGCCAGAATTATATATATATATATATATATATATATATATATATATATATATATATATATATATATATATATATATATATATATATATATATATATATATATATATATATATATATATATATATATATATATATATATATATATATATATATATATATTATATATATATATATGAATGTATTTACCTTTTGTTTCAAACATCTTTTACTTTACTAAAATATCCTTTTTCTATTGTAAAATATATTTTTCAAAACACTCTTGTATTTTTTTAAAGATACTTTAAAAACGATTTCAATTTATAAATTGCTTTTATCACTTCAAATTTCAAAGTTGAAATGTTACGAATTTTATTTGTTTGCAAATTATAACAAAACAACAATTTGACGTCATATTAGAGTTAACATGGTAAAAAAGGTGAAAAAATGTTTTCGAATTATTTGACGTCTTATTTTGAGTCTAAATTTCGTCCTTGTTTTTAAAATTTTTACTTATGTTTTAATTGTTTCAATGTCATATCTTGTTGTACGTGAATGTGTATATTTAATGTTTAAAGCATAAAAACCACTAGTGTTCTAACTGATTTTTTTTTTTTGTAATATCTCTCCCTGTTATTGTCCGGATCCACTCGAGACGTCTAATATACAAAAAAACCTTTATAAATACTACGTAAAAACTTCAAAGAAGACACTAAAAAGAAGCCATAAATGATTTTATAACAATGCAATTATAAAACTGGCAAATATTATTTAATTCCGTTTTATTTTGGAAAATTCTTTTTAAAGAAAGGCCTTTGCGGAGACTTTGACGCCATTGTCGCTGTTAAAAAGTATTGGAGCGCGTTTTATTATTTGGTCTCTTTAGAACCCTAATATTATTTGCCTAATGTATATACCGTCACCAGAGCCTGTGAGTTTTTTGACACTGGGTTTACATTTCCGAATTATTTTAAACTTTTTTTTGCAAGAATTCACTTATACTGGGCAATAATCTTATCTAAATTAATATTAGGGCTATATTCACTAAATTAAAGTACGGGTACGAATATGATGACTGCACTTTTTAAAAAGATTTTAATTTTTCATTTTTGTTGGTATGGTTATGAAGATAGCATTTTGCTGAGCAACAATCTATTTGTGGTATTTGCAGATATTTTGCGAGTGGTATATTTACTATACTTGGCATGAGTACCAATATGAGACCGAGTTTTTTTTAAAAGTTAAACTTTTTTCTTTAATTTTGTTGCCATAAATACTTAAATGACAATTAACAGATGTTTTTCTGAGGTACAAAGAGATAATTTAAAATAAATCGGTTTTTGAATAAACTTTATTGGATTTTCGACCTATTACCAAATAACTATAAAGTTTCCGATAATTTTTAAATAATTAGTTTTAAATAATAACTTTTAAATAATTAGTTAATTAATATTTTGGCAATAATGAAAACAAGCTATAGTGCAAGAAAACCTTGTCAATCTGAATTACATCGAAAATTTATTTAAGATTTTTAAAGTAATAGGGTAAACTGGGGTAAAGTGAACTGTTTTTGATATTTAAAGGAAATATTTTCAAAATAAAAGCCAAAACATTTTGCAGTTTTCAAAATTTATACCATTTAAAGTATTAGGTACAATATAAAACAAAATACTAAGATTAAAAGCTACTTTTACAATATTAAATATATATTCAAAAAAAACATGTCCACTAGTTCACTTTACCCCCACATTGGGGTAAAGTGAACTACTTCATCTTTAACTCTTTTGTGTTTGTTATTTCTAATAAATTAGTTTTTTTATTTTGTATTTTGCCTTGCTGCTTGATCTTTCTTTTAAAGCATTCGTTTTCTTCATCATTTAATCTTTTAAATGCATCTTCTGATGTAAGACACTCACCTCCATAGTGTCTTTTTATTTTTTTTGTAGGTCGTTTGTTGTATGAACGACCATCACCCTTTGTGGCCATTAACTGTTCTTTCACTATTTCTCTAATGATTTTATTTCCAGTAGAACAATCTACATTTGATATTGATAGTTGATTTATTTTTTCATTGTTTAAGTCTTTTCCTACTGATATTATAGTTTTTTGTGAATTGTATTTATTTGTTGATTCAATAGAAAAATTTTCACAAGTATCGTTCTGATCATTGACATTGGTGTCTAAAACGATGTTTTGAGGGACGTTATTATTATAGTTATTTGTTTTCTGAGAAAAAGGGTGTTCATAGATTTCAGAAGGATTTAACTTGTCAGATGCTATAGCAGATGGATCAAAGGGAAAAATTCCAGTTTTGGCAAAGGATTGTACTAAATGAGCTGGCTTAAAGGAGGTATCATAAAGTTTTTTTAATAAAGATGGAAAAACAGATTTCCCAACCACCTTCAGCCTTGACTCGGTATACCAATTGGCCAGAATTTCACGCCATACATGTTTAACTTGGCGAAAGACTCCTACATCAAGTGGCTGAAGCAAATGCGAACAGTGTGCTGGCAAACACAAAATAGTTATATGATTTTCAATTGCTTTTTTAACAGTTTCTAAAGAAATATGACTAATGTGACCATCAAAGATAAGCAAAACAGGCTTGGGTGTGTCTTTCAACCATAAAACAAGATGGTTAAAGTATTCAGTGAAAACTTCTGTTTCCATCCAACCGTTTTTTGTCACCCCATATAAGGAACCATTTGGTCCACCAGTCATCCACTCTTTATACAAATTCTTCCCAGCAAATAAAATAAATGGAGGAAAATTTCTTCCTGCAGCTGATATTGTTGCTAGTACAGTAAACTGTTCTTTTCCTGATCCAGGAGCAATAGATACAGGGTTTTTAATACCTCTTTTGCAAATAATTTTTTTATTTATTGGGTTAGTGCAAAACCCACTTTCATTGCAGTTTAGTATTTGGGCAGATCTATTCATAATGTCACATTTTTCCAATGTTGCTTTAAGTAATAAAAACCAAGCATCAATTACAGTTTTATTACAAGCTAAGGCTCTTGTTAATGTCAAAAGCTCTGGAGTTCTTATAGATATTTCTTTCTGCCAACGATTTAAAAAATTACAAAACCACTGATCACCAGCAACACCATTAACAAATTTTTTCTGAAATCCGTTTAATTCAATATACGTTTGAACAAGTTTCATAAATTGTTTTTTATCTAATCCAAATCCAAAATCAGAAAATGCAGATAAAAGTGAAACAAGATCTTTTTCAGCATCAGCAGATAATCGGTTTGGTCGCCCTTCACCAACTTTTGAGCATTTTATGCCTAGAAGATGTCTTGCAATTGTACTTCTTGGAACACCATATTCTTTTTTTCTCGAAGAAAAACATATGCAACAAATTAGGTGCATATGTTTTTCTTCGAGATTCTTTTTTCTTAATGTAGTTTCTTGGCATTATTTCAATATATTATATTTCTGAAAATAATTTTAAGAATATTTAAAAAAAAAACAACTTATTTTAAGAGTAAACAATTTAGTTAAGTAATTACAATTTATATATTCAGTTCTACTAAAAATATTTGATGAAAAAACATAAGAAAAAGACTAGTTCACTTTACCCCCAATAGGCAGAAAAATAAGGGGTAAAGTGAACTAAATTGATTTACAAACTAAAAGCTTAGCTTTTTTATATTATGATAAAAACTACAATTTTTTTTTAACAGCATTATATTATCTTTAAAATGTATATAAATTATATAACTGATGTTCGCATTAATAACAACAAATCATGAATTTACTAAAACCCATAGCAAAGTTTGAGATCGTAATTTTAAAACTTCCGCCAAACTCGCTTTTTAAAATGGCTATTACATCAAAACAAAGGCTATATTTTATTAATTTTTTTATTTAAAAAATTTCAAAATGTTGTATTAAGCAAAAGTAATGCTAAATTACTTAACAAAAAGTTTTTTAAACATGATAACTTTTTAGTTTAAAAAAATAGTTCACTTTACCCCTAGTTCACTTTACCCCAGTTTACCCTAGTAAACATTTGAAGTTGACGTTTTATGATTTGTTTAGAGTTATTTACGCAGTCATGAAATAAAAGAATCAGCGAAAAACAGTCGATTGAATAGATCAGTATTTGTTTCTCTTCTGGATATTTTTCAGCTAATATTTTTGCGATAAGATTCGAAGTCTTTGTTTCTCTCTTTTTGAGTTTCCTCTGGCTTAAGTTCTATGAGTAAACTATGGCTTTGAAATGTGTCATGTCAGGGTATCAATACTTTTTGTACAGATGGAGCCATGTAATACCATGGATGAAGGGACACATGTAGTCTAACTGTCAAAACAAATCATTTAATTTGAAGCAGTCTTTTTTATATCCTGATGATAATGTTACCATTTTTGATAAATTCAGCTTTTTGTTTATATGCTGCAAAAGCGCGTCTTGAAATATTGCCGTAATTGCTTCATCCAGAATCACCACTTTTGGGGAAATAAACACAAGCCCTATTTTGTTCATAAAATTAGTCTGAGTCTTTTGTTTAGTTACAGATACCTTCTCGTTTCTATTGCATTTAAAAACACAAAGAAAAGGTTTTTTTTGTTTAGTTACAGATACTTTTTCTTTGTATTTTTTAAAAGCAATGTACAAAATCATTTCAAAAAATTAAAAACAAAAGAAGATTAGTACATTAAAAGTGAGAGAGAAAGCGTGCATTGAGACTGGAAAGACCATATTTGAATTCTTTATGAGAGTAATCTATATTAAAAATATCAAGACTGTTTACATTTTTTGGAGAGACACCACACACCAAACAGCATTGTTATGACTTGGTTGTTCCAGATAAAATCGTTTGAAATTTCACATCTATTATTGTAAGTTCAATAACACATTTCACTTCAATAAAAGATCCGCAAACATCTAATAAATTTATACCGAAGCTTTTTATCTCACTTTTAATGTACTAATCCTCTTTTGTATGCAAGCCTTAATGGTCTGCAATAGACTGTGGATGATGACTTTTGATTTCTCCAAATAAGCACAATTTCATTGCTGTTGTTATATCCCGTTAAGTCCGATGGGAACAGACAAGTAATGAATAGGAATTTTCACGTTTGAAGACAATGTTTATGTCAGGTACTGACAAAGCTTGTTTATAAATGCTTTGGTCAGTAGCACTGTCAAGACAAGCCTTACACGTGATTCTCATTGTCTTTTTTTATTGCCGTTCAAAATCATGTGTCTCCCCACAGGTTCCTGAACTGCACAAATTCTTAGCTAAGTAAGAACCATTAAATATCTTAAAGGAACTGAAACTGAACAGTCATCTACTGTTATTTTTGCAGGATAGCATTTCAATTTTGCATCCCTGACACCATTGTAAGTCGGGTAAATGTTATACTTTTTCTCCATGGCTACACTTCTAGATAATAGTAGGAAGCTTTAGTCAGACTCCCATTAGTTATGAAGGCTAGTACTGCTGAATATTTATTTGCTTTGTCTGTATTTGAAATGTTAGAATTTTTTTTTTTTTTTGACAGCAATAACATTAGATCCATCTCCTAATTTTTTACAAGCAGCAATAAATAAATAATTTTATGAATGAGATTTAGGCAAGTCAGATACTTGTCGTTTTTTAGTTTAATTAGAGCTATTATCAAATGAAACTGGTTTTCGACCACGTCTACTTGTATAACTTGTAGTTGGTTTATTGTCTTTTTTTCTGACAATTAAATATTCATTATTCCAATTAATTTATAACCAACATTATAATGCCAAAAGCTTCTTTTCAAAGGTTTTTTTTTTTTTTCAGTATAATTTGCAGATTTCCACATTTTTTTTAATTTTTACAAGTAAACAAATCGTTGAGCAGCTTAAAATCAACGCCTTCAAAAAACTTAGGCTGAATAATTTTTAGGATATCTTCAATAATACTTTGTTTTTAAATACCAAGTTTTTTTTTATTATAAAAGTTATAAATATTTAATAAAACCATATCTAATTAATTCTTATAACAAAGATTTTGTATTTAACAGTTTAAAATTATTATATATATAACTTTAACTCAATATGTTTCACCATGAGCTATAAATACATTGGTATGGACTTAGACCCGACACTAAACATGAGTTATTTTAGCAAAATGTTTATAAAAAAACTTGTGACTTACTAAGACTACTTACTAAATTTAGAGACTTGTTAACACCTCTAGCAGAACACATTTAACAGTTAACACCTCTTGCAACAGAACACATTTAACAGTTAACACCTCTTGCAACAGAACACATTTAACAGTTGTACATTATACCAGTTTTAACCTGTTGTGGAAATCTTTGCCTCAACCTTCCAAAATCAAAAACAGATAAGCTAGACTTTTTGCATACACGTACATCTCGTATTACAAATGCAAACAGCAAGCACGAAGTGAACACAAAATCACCATTCTTGCAAAGTCTCGTTGCATCTTGTATATTAACAAAGCGACTCATTCTTGGTTTATCATGGTCAAACGTTACAATCTAATTTGATGTTGTCAACTATTCAAAAGCAACAAGAAATAACAGCAACCTAAATAAAACTCCGAAGTTCCCACTTGAATTTGCTAAAAGTTCTTTCAATTAGTCTAGTGCAAGATTCTATAATGAGCTACCATTAGAAATTAGACAAATTAACTCGTTGACTAAAATTAAAATAGAATTAAAAATTTATTTAAAAAAATGTTTTTTTAAACATTTCCGATAACCTTACTACTTCAATTGATTATAATTTTTTATTATATTATATAACAGGTCTTACATTGATAACAGAATTGTAATAAGTTCTGCTGTAATTTATCTTGTATAAATTTTTGTCAAATAAAAATAAATAAAATGTTGTCGCTATGCAATGCAAAGTAAGGTTTTTTAGATCAATAAAACCAGAAAATTGACCTAAGTTCAGACGCATTTGAACATAATAAAATGTTTCAAAACATGAAAAGGTTAAAAAGTTTTTAAATCATGATTTCTACTTGAAACTACTTGAAACGTTTAAAACTACACAATATCAGGACATAGTACATTCAACCAACTGTATTTTTAATAATTCTTTTTTGTGTGCAATTTTAACAAGTTTAATTGGAACAATAACAATCATAATTACATATAATCTTTTAAAGCATGTAACACAGACTGTGTAAATTAAATTAAAAAGTCATTGTCCTATAGTGCAATGAAGAACTTTAGGTAAACCTGGCAAAAATGTAGTTTTGTTTGCAATAATCAATTATGTAAAGATTTCTGGAAATTTAAGAATGTTGTAGTGCAAAAAGAGCTCTCCAGTTTTGGACAACAAACTCTTTTTTCATCTACAAAGACTTTAACAACTCAGGTCATTATCCTCAAGTTTAAAGACGGCTGTTATGTACAATCTTTTTCCATTTCTTTCTTTTATCAATTTTATTTTACATTAAGGCTAAATAATTAGATTTTTCTGATAAACATGATAACACAAGAATGTTTACTAAAAATTAAAGAATAAAACAATTACTTATAAATCCTTATTTTTTTTTTTAGTTTTTTCTAGGTCCTTGATTTTTTTTATGAATCCACGTCGAGAATTTTACATTTTATGAAAACGGATCTTAGATCTTTGAACCATTTCGGCTGAATTGACTCTTCCGTATCCGAATGCAAGCTTGTTATGAGATTGAGTTAAGAAATTTTATAAGATCTTCATGCAACAAATATTGAAATTTGTTCAAACAGCTCATAATTTATTCATAAATCACGGACAAATAGTTCATTTATTCATAAATCGAGAAGATTTTGTGCGTCCAAAATCCGCCTTTTCTGTTTTTCTTTAGCCGTCTCCATTTTGCCAAAAGCATTCGACATTAACTCGCGCTTCTTTTCTTGCAGTTCTAGCATTTTTTCTTCAACAGAATCTTCTACAATGAACTAAAAAAAAAAAAAAAAAAATACAAGATGAATTTAAAATAATTTATTACGCTTGCAGTATTACCTAATTGTAAGAACAACATCATTGTCTATAATAATAAATTTTTTGCTTAATTTGTTGGCGCTATTTTTTTCTTTTGATTTAAATCCAACTATGGAATTTTTAGTGCTCAAGATTACCTTTTTTCAATTTGATTAACACTTTTAGGTATGAATAAACTTTAAACTGAGGTGTAAAATGTGTAAGGCGGTTAAGTGTAAACTATTATAGCAAAACTGTTATTCAAAAATCACAGCACCATAAACGTTGTGGTGATCGGAACTGAAAACAAAAATAAAATTCTATCCAGTTTTTTTAAAAGGGCATTAAACATTGTATGATGTTAAACTAGATCGAATTTCCTTTTATATTTTAAATTATACCATATACATTTTATTTTTTATTTTTTCAAATTGAATAATAAAATCTCTCGTTATTCAAAATTTATTACTATGTGGCAGATTTGAAACCCTATCCACTCCCCCCCCCCCCCCATTTTGTTTAAAGAGAATAAGAATCCTTTTTTTAAAAATAAAATTAATTTAATGACTATTTTTTCTTAGGGACACTTTTCCCATAACAATTTGTAAAGTGTATATAAAATATAATATATATCTTTTCATCAAAAGCAATGGTTGCCCCTTAGTTTATTAGTATTTTTCTACTAATAATTAAGTTTATATAAAATAATAAATTTTCTTAGATGAAAATACAAATAAATACACATAATTTACCTTATAAATTTTAACTTCTTCAGTTTGACCAAGTCGATGACATCGATCAAAGCACTGATCTTCAGTTGCAGGATTCCATGCCTTTATTTAATAACAAAAAAAAAATGTAAATATATATATATACATATATATATATATATATATATATATATATATATATATATATATATATATATATATATATATATATATATATATATATATATATGTATATATATATATGTATATATATATATATATATATATATATATATATATATATATATATATGTGTATATATATATATATATATATATATGTGTATATATATATATATATATATATATATGTGTATATATATATATATATATATATATATATATATATATATATATATATATATATATATATATATCAGTACAATTAGCGTAAATTTTTATGTATTAATTAGCGGCTGTCATATAATTAAAATGTCGTTAAATTTTTTGCGTTGTTAAAATAATATCATCACACATGAATAAATCTGTGTCGCGAAATTTTGGTGCTAAAATAATGAAATTAATTTTTTCATAAAGAAAATTATGCTAGCTAAAAATCCAATCCATTTTTGTTTGAAAAACAATACGTAAAAACATTTAGTTGTGACTTTATTTAAAGATGCCATTTTTGTGTAAAATGAGCATGCTCAAATTATCCAGTATTTTTCATTGAAATTACCTAGTTTAAAGTCCTAAAATAGCATTTTAAATTTAAAGTGATTTTAATTGCTTTTTAAATAAAAACAAAACATAGCAAAAAATTTAAAATTTTTAACAATACTAAATACTTTTCTGAAATTTAAATTCAAAAAATATGAATTTTTATCGTTTAAAAGCTAATAAAATGAAAAAAACCGAACTAATTTTTTTTTCGGAAAACATAGCAGTATTGTTTCAACAAAAAGGGGCTTAAAATTTGATCTTTTAACTAGGGTTCATTATCGAAATAGCAATTTTCGAAAATTTTCGTTTCAAACGTTATCGAAATAACGTTTTTTTCGAAATCTAAAAAACTTTCGAAAATAATCGAACTAGCCATATTAATTTCGAAAAAAAAAAGTAATTTCGAAATGTGAAATTAATTTCGAAATAAAAAGGTGGATTTCGAAAAGGGAAATTTTTTTCGAAAGGAAAAAAAGAATTTCGAAATGTGAAATTAATTTCGAAATAAAAAGGTGAATTTCGAAATATGAAATTAATTTTAAAAAGAAAAAAAGAATTTCGAAATGTGAAATTAATTTCGAAATAAAAAGGTAGATTTCGAAATAGGAAATTAATTTCGAAAGAAAAAAAAGAGTTTCGAAATCTCAAATTAACTTCGAAATTAAAAAACAGTGTATTTTGAAAAGTCAAATTAATTTCGAAAGAAAAAAAAAGAATTTCGAAGTGTGAAATTCGAATAAAAACAAAAGATATTTGATAAACTAAATTAATTTCGAAAATGAAATTATCGAAAAGTTTAATTTATTTCGGAAAAAAAATTATTTTTTAGAAAGTTAAATTTCAAAAAAAAAATAACGTCGAATTAACGCTATAATTTTTAAAAGCATAACTTATAAATGCAATTTTAATACCTTAAATTTTATTTGCATACTAATACTAAATAACCGGTGGCCTAATTAATTTACCAAGGGTATCGGCAGGTAAACCTTTTATAATAAATATATAAATATATATAAATATATATAAATATATAAATATATATTATATATATATATATATATATATATATATATATATATATATATATATATATATATATATATATATATTTATTATAAAAGGTTGACCTACCGATACCCATGGTAAATTAATTAGGCCCCCTGTTATTTAGTATTATTATGCAAATAAAATTTAAGGTATTAAAATTGCATTTATAAGTTATGCTTTTAAAATTTATAGCGTTAATTCGACGTTATTTTTTTTGAAATAAATTTAACTTTCTAAAAAAGAATTTTTTTTCCGAAAAAAAATTCTTTTTCAGAAAGTTTTGCAAAAGAATACTATTTTGGTAAATTTATTTCGGCGCCAACATGTTTAGTATGTAATGAATCTGTTTTAGAGTGCAAAGAATATAATTTAATGAGGCACCATGATTCATAACATTTTAAAAACTTAACCAGTTTCTTTTTTTTTTTTCTTCTATTTATTATCTTTTTTTTTTGCCGTATAATAAAATTTACAATGAGGAAGATCATAGATATATAAAAAATAGCCGGAGCAAGAAGAAGACATAAACTGTCTTATCGTCAAACCCCGTTTACATTGACTTACTTAACTACCTTTCACTATTTTATAGAGGAACCTGAAATTATTTTAAAAATAACTCAGGGGTAGTTCGCTAATCACCTCACATATTTAGGCCTAGCGGGGTTTCGGATTTTGTGACACTTTGTAACCGGGGAGTGGAAAAGGTTTTACAAATTTGTGACATCACAGGTGATTAAAACGGAATAAAATAAAATGACTTACTTTAATAAAACTCTAAATATATAGAAAATAGTTTTATTTTTGCTACTTTTTAAAAGAAACTGCTACCAAAAAAGCAAGGATATACTCAGAGCCGTGGATAGACTCCTTACGCTCCTCCCATAATTAGGGGGGGGGGTCACATTTAGGGGCTCTTTTTCAAATTTTTGAGGGTCTTTTACCAAATATGGGGAGCATTTTTATTTTTAGTATCAGGTTGTTTTAAATTTTGGGGTCTTGGTTTTTGGCTCAAAGTTCTTGATTGGTGCTGCAAATATAACAATAACATTTATCAACTACAAGTAAACTTTCTTAAGGAATTTGCTTATCTTTATACGAAGTTATTGTTATAAGTTACAGTTCATTGATATTTTATGGACATCTGCTGCGCGGGAAAAACAATACCTTCTTCTTCACCTCTCTCGCCTGATTAGATTATGCTTCATGACTTTTTAATTTTATAAAATTATTTTTAGGGATTATATTTACCCTCACCAAAAGCTTGAATAACTTTTTTGATAGCTTGGATAGCGTTAAAAAATAAATAAAAAGTTTTTTTTTGCCTGTTGTTTTGATTACGCAAAAATTTCTTTTGAATATACTATTTTTATTTCGAAAACACAATGTTTAAAAATCAAATTCATCTTAATTTGAATAGCGTAATTTAAAAGAAAAGTTGCGTAACTTTAGACACGAAGAGTCTGTAAAGAATTTTATTTTTAATATCTGTAAATTTTTAAAAATAAAGTAGAAGGCATAGTTCACAGCACGCACGTAAGTCATTATTATTCCTCAACGGCAATTCCCTTGAGGCCTTAAACGCATGACATGAAATCATTGTTGCCATGTAAACAGCTAATTACTCTCTAGTGGTAATTAAGAGATTTACAACGGTTTCAAATCGATTTATGCCTTTGCGATTTTTGTGTTACATAACTCTAAACAAAATGTAACTTTATATTAAAGTTATAACGATCTCATTAATATCTCGGTACGTAAGTAAAGTAGCACATGCTAAAAATAAATTTATACCACATGGTACAAATTTATTTTAACATGAGCTACTAACTTGTTAATATTTGTTACATAAGAATAATTAAAAAAACTACTCGCTTTTTAGTTTGAATAAACAAAAAAGCGAGTAGTTCGTCAAAAACAAATAAATCCGTTATTAAAAAAGGAATAAGAAAACGAAGCTTCGTTTTTTCGAAATGGACCAAAAGAATCAAACAAAATGCAGCATATGTTATAAGATTTTACGTTAAAACAGTTCGACCAGTTCAATGCAATCCCATTTATCAATTGATCATTGTATTATTTCTAAAATATCTAAAAAATCAACAACTTTACTCAATGATGACGATATATCTGATATTGAGAGCGGTAATGAGAATGGTTTTGAAGAGACTGGTCATAAAAAATTGAACAAGTTATTGGTAAATTTTATTGTTGGTACCGATCAGCCGATTTTGATAGTACGTAATCTAGATTTTATAAACTTAGTGAGTTAAACAAAAGCTACAAAATGCCATGCATAAATACGGTGAAAAAGAAACTAATTCCTTCAATTACGGACTATCTTAAATCAATTTTAATGCTAGAATTGAAGGGATGTTATTTCATTACAATTACTTGTGATAGTTGGACATCATTGGGTAAAAACAGCTACCTCGGTGTGACTTGCCATTTTATTGACAAAAATATGACTCTAGTTGACCGAAACCTGGATCTTAAGTTTATGTATGAAATGAAAACAGCTGAATAATATAAAACGTTATACGAAATAAATAAAACGTTAAACGAAATCTTCAGTGAATGGTCAATCAATAATAAGATTTTTGCACTAGTTACTGACTCAGGTGCAAATTTTTTCTCTGTAGTAAATAAATTTGATGATACTGTTAAGATTCCGTGTCCTGGTCATCGTTTGAATCTCGTGGTTATAGATCTAGAAGATCAATAACCACGAGAGATATAAAAGTAAAAAAAATTAAAAATGGGTCAAAGCGTTACGAAGTAAAAGATTACGACGGTAATGGAAAATTAATTAATAAAGAAATTACAGAAAGTGAAGTTAAAGAAATAAAAAATAAAAAAGTAAATTAGAAATTGCCAAGGTAATTTCATCCTGCAGACACATTGTTGGTTTATTTAAGCATTCAGAGATGTTACAAAAAAAGTTAAAAGAAGTTCAAGAAACACTTCGTTATGAAACTAAAATAAAGTCAGTACAGGATATAGCTATTCGCTGGAATAGCCAATTCGATATGATTGAATCTATATTAACGAACAAAACTGCATTGGATATGATAAGCATCGAATTCCAAATTATAAAAGACTATCTTCCCACTGCAACTGAATTTAAGTTGCTGGAGGATTTGTGTGATTTGTTACACCCAATTAAAGAGCTAACAAAACATTTTAGCGGAAAGAAATATGTTACAGTAACATTCCTGTTTCCAACACTGTATTCTCTACTAAATGGAATACTTGAATCGCAACCTAGTTTTACAGAACTAGTTAAGATTTTTCAAAAGGAATTATTAAGGTCTCTAAAAGGACGTTTTAAATACATTTTTGCTAATGATTTTTTCTTAGCAGCTACTTTTCTTGATTTCAAATTTCGTAAATTCAAGTTTATCAAAAATGATATCTATAGATATGAATGCGTTTCAAAGGCAAAAATGTTTATAAAAACATTTTATGAAATTCATCTAAAAGAATCCGAAAAAATCGATATAACAATTGAAACAAATTGTTTAAGTAACATTTTGAACTCGTCAAACAGCTCAGCTGACAATACCATAAAAAAATGTCAACAATCGTCAACGCCATCTATTGCAAATAATATTAATTTAGTTAACAACAAAAGACGAAAGTCAATCAACTTAATTCAACTAGTAACAGGTAAATCTTGTTGTAATTTAATTAAGAGCAATGATAAACTTGAAAAAAAAAAATAAATGATTACAGTCTGCAATACTTTCAGAGCGAAAATAGTGCCATTGAATTTTTCCAAGCTAATCAAAAATTGTTCCTGGTTTTGCACAGATAATATTTTCAGTTCCAGCGACATTCGTGCCATCAGAATGCTTATTTAGTTCAACCGGTTTAATAGATACGGAGCTAGGGAACAGGCTTGCGCCGAGCTTATTGAAGCAGTTAGTTTTTATTTAAAGAAAACAAGTAATCAAAAACATTTCTTTATTAAATTATATTTTAGTAAAAGTGTATTTTATAAATCTTAGTAATTCAAAGCACTTGTATTCTTTTTTTTTTTATCTGATGAACTTTTTTACAAACAGCTTAATGACAATATGTTTTCTGCTATATTCTTTTAAATTCTGGAAAAAACACCAATATCCAATTAATGAGCTGCCATCAGGGCAGGTGCAAGTAGGTGTGACGTAATGGGGTGTCATTAAAATTTTTGTTGAGTATAAAATTAGGTCCTTTTTTTTTTGAAACTCGACCAACATTTGCCGACTTCTCTGAAAGGGTTCTTTTTGCCGACTAAATGCACAAAAAATGCATTGAGGAAGGTGTGTGTGTGAATGATTCGTAAATTTAAATGATCTTTCCCCGTCACTGAATGGTTTAGAATTTGTAATTAAAGAGGACTAATTTCATAGCTTGCAACAGTAGCATTTACTGTTATGATATTGCCCTTTTTTAAGAAATCTTGTTGTCCAACCAACTAATTATAAATTTGATTGTTTTATCTTTCCCTAACTTGACGAAAATCTTTATGAACAAAAAAAATTATTAAAAGAAAGTCTACTGTTAATTTTCTAGGAGTAATTATAGATGAAAATATATCATGGAAATATCATATGAATCTATTGAAAATAAAATCTCCGAAAATACTTCAATGCTATATAAAGCTAAACTTTTTCTTAATACGGAGTCTTTGAAAATTATATATTTTTTATTTAGGGAGAGTTGAAAATATATCATGGAAATATCATATGAATCTATTGAAAATAAAATCTCCGAAAATACTTCAATGCTATATAAAGCTAAACTTTTTCTTAATACGGAGTCTTTGAAAATTATATATTTTTTATTTAGGCACAGTGGGTCGGATTTCTTTCTTTTTTAATTTGAGTGAAAGTTAAAATATATATTTTATCTTTGTCAAGGCTAAAGGATTGAGAAATATGTCCTTCATGATAAGAAATCACTAAAACCTAAATATTTATTATCTAAGTGAGTTGTGTTTAGTGATTCACTATACCCCAGTACTGGGGTACAGTGAAACAACTAACACATCTGCAATTTAGTGGTAGTTAATGGGGGCATAGCCAAATAATTTTGAGGATGAGGGTGTAAATACATTGTACACTATACTTTTGGCGCACTTTTGGTAATTAAAATTAAACAATTTAAATTTTTTCTGATTGAAAAAATAAAGAATAAATTTTATTGATAACAAAACTTATTCAACTATCTAAAATCACAAAAAAAAATTTTACCTAATAAAACTTATTTAACCAACAACAAAAGAAATTTTTAAAAGTTAATTTTTAATTTTTATAAACATTTTTATCACAGTGAATCAACCGGTTCACGGTACCCCGAATTATTGTGCCCCACCATCAAAAATAAGGTTCAGATTTAATTTCTTGGTACATGAGTGTTATTAAAGGAAAAGCTAAACTACTAAAATATAGCATAAATATCAGTATTCCGAATATAAAACTTTAACTTATAAAATGATTTTAGCCATGATCTCCACAACAAACATAAAGATGGTAAGAACATTTACTTTAGTTAGCTAAAAACATAAATTACCTACCAAAAACCTAGAGTCAAAAATTATGTGGTAACACCTATAAATAAAGATGGGTGATATATGCGAACATAAACTGATTACATCATCGTGATGAACAAAATTATAATCTTTGAGAAAATGCTACTTATTCACTGTGCCCCTCAATCCACTGTACCCCAACTTCCACTATTCATAGTTATCTTTCCTATTGTAATCTTGCATAGAGAAGTACCAATTATAGGGAGCTCAAAAAAATTATAGCAAACAAAAACATCCATGCAGGATTATATTTGGCGTTAACAGAACTGTTAATGATGAATCTCTTTTAAAGAAACTTAATGTCCTTAATGTTTATAAACTTAATATATACCAAGTTATGCTTTTTACGTTTAAATCAAAACATGCGTTATCTCCTAATATATTTCACTCTTACTTTGCAGAAATACCTCATTAATACCCATCTGATAATTTTGTTATTCCAAGATCTTATTTAAAACTCAATTTATTTCAAATTCAATACCGTGGACCATTTATATGGGAAAGTTTTTAAAAAACATTATTTAATGATAAAATTCTTCTAAGAACAATTCTAAGAACATCTTCTTAGAACAATTCAAAAGAGAATCTAAACGTTTTCTATTAGAAAAAAAATTCAATATTTATTTTAATATTTCTTTTAAAAGTTCCTAAAATAATTAAACCTGAAAAAGTCATCACTACTCATTTATTGTTGTCTTGATGTGTATCTTATTTATTTCTCATTAAAATAAAATATATATACTATTAATTTTAAACAAACAAAACAAAAAAAAACAAAATTTTTTTTTACGATTTATTACTTGTGTTTTATGTGTAGAACTAATATTGTATTTTATTTTTATACTTTATAATTTTTAACTTGTAACTTTGTGACGTAAGTTAAGGTAGTTAGTCTTCTATAAAATAGTAAGAGGTTGTTCTGCCACCACTGTTCCGTAACACAAAATTTTAAGAATTATTTTATGTTAATTTTTAAAATTTAATTATTTATAAAAACATTTTAAAAAAATTTTGTATAATTTCAGTAATAAAATAAATATAAGCAAATTTTAGACTTTAATAGTAATATTTGTATATTGCGTAATACTTTCAGAATTTTGAAATAAAAAAATATTTCGAAGCAAATTTTAGAATATCAAAAGTAAAAATTTTTTCCGGTAATATTTTCAGAATTTCAATATCACAAAAATATTTCGAAGCAAATTTTACAATTTCGAAAGTAAAAAATTGTTTCGGTAATATTTTCCGATTTTCGAAATAGCGAAGCAAATTTTACAATTTCGAAAGTAAGAAATTTTTTCGGTAATATTTTCCGATTTTCGGAATCGCAAATATATTTCGAAGCAAATTTTACATTTTCGAAAGTAAAAATTTATTTCGATAATATTTTCAGAATTTCGAAATCGCAAAAATATTTCGAAGCAAATTTTACAATTTCGAAATTAAAAAATCGTTTCGATTCAAAATTAATTACTTTAAAATTATTTCGAACTTACCGAAACGAAAATAGAGTTTCGAAAACTTTTTTTCAATCGAAAATTCAACTTTGGCTTTCATGAACAACCCTACTTTTAACGATAAGTTTTGTTAATAACGAATCATTATATTCCAAAAATTAGTTTTAACTGTCAGGTTGGTATTTAATTAATTAATGTTATTTTTTTAAGCTTATTACCACTGGTGGTACACACTAGACTGTCTCATTGGGCGGCGTGTACCACCGGTGGTACACGCTGCCCAATGAGACAGTCTAGTGTGTACCACCAGTGGTACACGCTGCCCAATGTGACAATCTAGTGTGTACCACCAGTGGTACACGCCGGCGTGAACGTGTTAAAGTGCTCATATTACCAAGTGATATGGGTAATATGAGCACTTTTGCTACTTTTTTAAAAACCTCTGTGTTTTTAAAAAACAATTTCGGATGCCCAAATGTCTAAGTGGATCATAAGTAGGGATCCCTAAAATTTATTTATTCGCAAAAATTTTGGATCCAGCTTAATTATTTTTGAAAATATAACAACTTTTGCTTAAGGTGCTCATATTACCCTAATCTACCCTATGTGTATATATATATATATATATATATATATATATATATATATATATATATATATATATATATATATATATATATATATATATATATATATATATAAAGATCATGAAAAGTTGCAATAAAAGAATAACAGAAAAAATCACCGGGTCCATAAGAAAAACTCTTGTGGCTTTTGTCAAATTTATACCAAGGCCACCAGCTTTTAAAGATAAAAGCATAATAGTTGGCGAGCTATCTGATACAGAAGAAAATAGCGATATAGCAGTGTTGCGTTGTTGAAAAGACATTTTTCCATCTAAACGAACAAATTTGTAATGAGATTCACTTAGCGGTTTCTCTAATAGATCCAAGAAGCTTGAAAATTGTGAAACGACTAGGTGTTTACGGCAACCGTTTTCCTCTCTCTCTTTATTAAGCAGGGTAATTAAAGTGTCAACCTGATTAGTTTAAAAATTATATACATTATTGTAGCGTTTTTATTAATATAAAGTAATGTATTAAGAACATTAATGTGATAAACAATTTTAAAAGTTTAAAACACCTTTGAGCTTGAACTCCATTTTTCAGAGCAAGTTATCGACGGGTTATCTTCATTTACTTCCGGTTCAACAAGTTTATCCTTTGTAACTTCCTTTCTACATAAAGGGCATTTTGGTTTATCAGTACGAATCACATCTTCAATACATTGTTTACAAAAAAGATGCGCGCAGTGTGTTATAACTGGTTGATTAAGTGAATCCAAACAAACCGGACACTCCTCATCACCAGACGATAGAAGGACAGACAAAATTTGTTGCAGTTTTTTTACAAATTCTGTAGATGAGGTTGAATGAGCTAAAGATAAAAAAATTTATATAACTAAAGAAATAAATTTCTATTAAACATTGCAAAAAAAGAAATGGTTTAAACTTACAAAATTTAGATGCAAAATCTACAATTTGCATGCATAATTTTGGGTGGCAACACAGTTGTCGTAGTCTCATTAAAACTACAAGGACATGTGCAAAGTTTTCATTCAATGAGTTCTCCTTTACATAACTAAAAAAATAAAATTAATTAAATACCTTATAATTAATTTTACCATTTATAAATAAAAATCTTCTTTATATTGTTGAGAATGAAAAGCACAGATATTTACCTTTCCAATATAGAACGACCTTCATTTTTAAACATGTTATAAAGATCTCTTTCTTCTTTTGTGAGTTTAATTTTTTGAATAAAAATAGTTTTTTTTGGAAGCTTAATCAAACTTTTTCCATCCACTTTGTTTGATTTTGTTCGGCGCAATGAGATTATTGACATTAGTTTTTGGAGTCGTCTGCAAAGAAAAAAATATAAATTGCAACAAATAATTTTTTTTTTTTGAAAATTTAATAAGCATTTATTGCATGAATTTTTTCTTGAACTTACTTAATAGATCCTTTTTCATTATTTTGAATAGGCCTCTCTACTGATCTGGTCCACCATTCTCTCTTTGTAAATGGCTCTATACGCAAAAAATTAACAACAGACCATAAATCTTTTATTGAGTTTTGAACTGGAGTCCCAGTAATCAACCAGCGTCGCTCTGCGTCTAATGATAAGCAAGCTTTTGATTGACTTGTGGATGTATTTCGTATAACATGACTTTCATCAAGTATGACACGTAGCCATTTTACTTTGTGCAGTGTTGACGAAACCTAAAATAAAACACTCATATTAAAAGAATTACTAAACATTTATCTAAAAATTAGAAAGAATCATGGATTAATCAAACATTAAATATTATATAAATGTGTTTAAACTTAAATAATGTTCTGTATTATTTATAATATATTAAATGTATTAAGCTGTATTAGGGTAAACAGTACAGTAATTGGACAGGGACAGTTATTGGACACTACATAACTTATGTTTAAAAAATAAGAGTAGATTTGAAAAAACTTGTACAATATTGTCATAGATGCCTCTGTAAACATTATTGCAATGCGTCATTTCCCTTCTTTACCGGCTAACTCTGTAATATTTGTCAAAAAACATGTTTTGTTGTGCTGTACTGTGTGTGCATTATAAAAGCGAATTTTATTACAAAATTAGTTAAGAGTTGAATTTTTTAAAACGTAAGTATAATAATAATATATCATTTGGAAACATGTGCAAAATATCTTTATAAAAAGTGCATGAATTTCAAACAATCATAACCCATGGTTCTAATCGTTCATGTGTCCAATAACTGTGTTTTTTGTTAAAATATATTTTTTTGTAAAACGGTGAGATTATTCATAAAATAAGACAATTGTTAATATAATAAAAAAATATCATTAAATGTCATTGAATTTCAGAACGTGTTTTATTTATTATGCATGAAAGACCCACATGAAGTTGAGTAATACCTTAAGTGTCCAATAGCTGTACTGTTTATCCTATATTAATTTTAAGTTCTCTATATATTTTCCATTGTTTAGATAAAATCAAATCAAAGTTACAAACCATTGCATTTTTGAAAATTTTATCAAAAAAAAAAAAAACTTGTCCTAAAGTGATCTACAAAAATGTCTTAATAACGTCTAGAAGTAAAATACTAACTTTTTATATTTGTATTTAAATTGAGCAAAAATTAGGTGACAAGTATTTCTATTTAAAATATTTTCTATCAACCTAATAGAAATAATTGTATTTAAGTTTTTTTTTTTTTTTAAATTCTGATTCACTCCTAACAAGGCTGCAAGCAACACTATTAAGTTGGAAGTTACTAGAAAAAAAAGAATACAGTCATAGAGTAAGGAAACGGTTGACAAAAGACTTAAAAAGTTGAAGGTTGCATGAGTCAGAAAAACATGAAGATGGGAGAGAGTTCCAAAGGGTTGAAGTGCAGTTTTTCCTGCATGTTCCAAAAACTTGGAAAGCAGGAACAAATACAGTAAAAGAATGAGACTTTGACAAACGATGAGTCAACCAAGAATGAGTTTTAGTTGATGGAAGAATTAGAGATGCTCCTTTGAGCACAACCATGATAGTAGTTGTAGAAAATAGAAAGACATACAACTTTACAACGATGGAAAAGAGGTTCAAGCTTAACAGATAGACTGAGTTAAACTATGTTTACAATGCAGTTTTGGACTTAGTCTAGTAGAGAAAGAGCATCATTAGAAGAACCAGCTTAAATATGACAACAGTATTCCATATAGGGACGACTAAAAAATTTGTAGATAGAATCAGAAGAGAGAAAATAAGGAGCACAATAAAGAGAAGCAACATTAGGTAATTTAGCAATCGATTGTATATATGGTTTTTATGAGAGGTCAGTAGTGAATGATAAAACCAGAAGACATAAAAAAGATCAATGTTAGGGTTGCCATATAGGAATGTAGAACAGTATTGCAATGATTGTTTGCAGTAAATGAGTTTTATTGGAGTTAAAATTTACAAGCCACTGTGTGCCCCAATCTGTTACAGAAGTGAGATCAGACTCAAGATTGGCTGCCTGTTCTAAGCAATCGAAATGTGGAGACTTTTCAAGGCAGGAGTATAAAATTGAGTCATCAGTAAAAAGAGCTACTTTAGATGTATGGTTGTCTGGAAGATCAATAATGTAGATAAGAAATAAAATAGGACCAAGGATAAAACCTTGAGGTACCCCAAAAGTTACTGGAAATAAAAAAAAGTGCTGACCTTCGAGGATGACTTTAATAAAGTGGTTAGATAGAAATGATTTGATTATCTAAAAAACATTCCCAGATACACCATATGAAACAAGCTTATGAAGAAGACCATCATGCCAAACTTTGTCCAAAGCCTTAGATATGTCAGAGCAATAGCCTTAGCCTCTCCATCTCCATCTAATGCACAATAAAATCTACCAGTCACAGCATTTAGCAAGTCAGCCATCGAGTGAGAGGATCAACAACCGTATTGATTGCCTGGCAGCAATTTATTTGACTCAAGATGGGATGTGAGAAACTTATTTATCAAAGACTCAAAGACCTCGCTAATAACAGAAAGAAGACTGATTGGAGGATAATTGAAGGGGTCAGAATGCCAAAGCCTATCCACTTCGCAAAACTCCTGTTAATTGATCGAAATTGCATTCTGGGATGTCCTGCCGGACTTCTTCCGCAATTAACACAAATAGTTTATTTTTTTAAAATAAACTTTGCATCTTTGTTTTATGTGATATCTGTAAATATCTTAATTTTGTATTCAAGATATCTCAATTTTGTAACATTAAGATACATCAATTTTGTTAAGATTACCATTAGAATGTTTCAGTAAGAATAAAATAATGGGGAAAAAAACGTTTTGTAGAACAAAAAGAGTTTTGCAGAACATAAAGTTAGTGTAATTTTTTTATAACATAAAAGTATATTATTATACATAAATGTTATTATTATTATACATTAACAAAAATTATTAATATACATTATAACATAACAAAGTCTCATTACAAAGATTAAATTGAAAAAATAATATAATAATATACCAAAGGGCAATACGTGCATTTTTGAAATTGCAATTTGGAAGCAATATTATTTTTTTGGACTTTTTGGGTGGATTTTATGAAATAAAAAATTCTTGTAATAAACAACATAATTTTTTTTAAAGTTTTTTTTTTTTAAGTGCATCTTATTACAAAAAAAAAATTGAAAAAATAGTATCATAATATATTAATTATGAAGAATACGTGCAATTTTTTTTGCATTTGACTTATTGCGTGGGTTTATGTCTCTGTTTAAAAATTTTATGAAATAAAAAATTCTTGTAATAACAAAAAACAGAACAATGTTTTTTTTCCAAATAAAGCGCATGTTCTTCATGCTGATTGTGCAAAAACTGAAAATGACATTTTTTTTTAATTTTATTTATGAGAATCAATCCATCTCTTTCAAGATATTTATCAATTAATTTTGAAAAAGTTGTTTCCATTTCACAAACTAGTGACATAAAAGCTGATGGATTGTCAGCTGAACTAAGAAATAGTACATCTGCACACCTATGACATAATTTAACCTTTTGAATAAGCCATCCAGACATGTGTAAAAGGGCTTGATCCTTTGGTTGCATTAAAATTTTTCCAGTAAACATATAAAATGACCCTGGATGAAAATAAGATATTCCTTTAGGTATGTTATTTTCTGTTTCATAAATTCCACAATTAGTGGTTGCTTGATTACAACACTTCATAAAATCATTTAGATTGAAAGCTGTCTCAAAATTTGAATCCTTTATACAGTTGCTATTGGATTTACTTTTTTCTACAGATAAAAGTAATAAAGCATTTCTATAAGCAGCTCGAAATTGTCTAACATTTGGACGGTCATTCCAACCACCTTTGCTTCGAATAATTGAAAAAAAAATTTCAATGCAGTCCTGATTAAAACGAGAAGTACAAACAAATTGAAAACCTTCAGAAAATAGCTCTCTACTTAAGGTTAGAACACTATTAATTGTGACACTTAAACCCCAATGACATGATATACTTGCTTGACTTCTAACATTACAAAATTTTGTCTAAATTGTAAAGAGACTGGATGTGTTGCCAAGAAACTATTTCACCATTAATGTCAATGTTATGTCTTCGCAAATTGTTTCTGATACTTTTTACTAAATGCGGAGGATCAAAAATAACATGAATATTTTTATTATTGGAGAGATTAGGAAAGTATGGTAAATTATTGGAAAACCCAAGCAAATGTAAGGCAGCTATATTAGTAGATCCTTGATCACAAACTACACATCTAATGTGTCAACCAGTTTCTTGAACCTTAGAAATGGTTTCACGTAGTAAAGAAGTCAAGTCAGCTGTTGCTTTTGTTGAATTATTATAAAAATAAGCTATTGGTTTACAATTTTCTATCTTTACAATTTATTTATGATATTTAGTAACATATACAAAGAGATTTAACAAAAATAAATATTAACATTGAGAAAATATACGCTGCTGGTCCTATTAAATATACAGATTTTTAAAAAGTTTAACAAAATTTAAATGCATGGCTAAACAAAAGAAATCAAAATAACTGTTGATTTTCTCATTGTTTACAGGAAAAAGTTTGAAAGCATAACGTAACACACTATTTTTCACTATCTGATATTAAATAACATTGATATAGAAATATTGCTGAAAAAAAGACAACTACTATATGGTTAAATACAATTATGTATCAAAAAACATAATACTTTTCCTGTTGTTGAAATTAAAAATTGCAGATTTAACCTTAAATTGTGTACAGTCTATATCTTTAAATTGTGTACAGTCTATATGTATATCAGTTTGAGGATGTCCATTCTTGAAAAATATTTTGGGAAATCTTTTTTAATAAATAGGATAATCTCAATGAAGGTCAGCTTTTTCAAAAAGTGTCACTAAAAATGCTATTCATGCAACAAAAAATATTAAACATATACTTTTGGAAATTAGTAAAATATAAAGCATAACTACCAATGCATGAAGACAAATTAAAAAAAAATTATTTAGTTATTTTATCTAAATATATATATATATATATACACAATAGTAAATATGGACTTGTAATACCAAATAATACATTGCACATTCCAATAGATAAAAGGTATTTAATTATGAAGGATTACTTTATTTAAGTTTTATCTCCTTTTTTTTTGTATTAACGTAATTGTAACATAAATATAAAGAACAAAATCACTTTACAGTGTTAATATCTTTGTAATACTAGTTATTTCAACAAAAAATATCCAATATTCATCTATTAAAGTTGTTTACAAAAAATAAAAAAAACGTCTTATAATTAATTAAACAAAACTGCCATTTTGTTCATTTATCCCCTTTTAAAAAGTCATATACTTAAACGGCACGCTGTGAAAGTCCCTAATTATGGTTATTAACTGTACAAAAAAGCAACAAAGTAGTGTCATGAAATTGTTTTATTGTTTTATTTCTTTTTACAAAAACAACTAAATACTCTTTAATAATAACACATGTTTTATTGTCAGCATGAACGTATTAGATAGCTTTCTATGAGTAATTAAAGTGGTTTAAATATTGTAATATTTGATTTTTACTTTTAGTTTTTTACTTTTACTTTTTTAAGTATCATGTTAAGCAGAAACAATTACTAAAAGTAATATCTTTATAGTATTAAATACGTTACTTGCTCATTACACTGTAACTGCAACTTAAACTTTAAATTATAAATTAAGCTGTAAATTATTACAGTAACTTACGCTATTTTAAACAATGCCAAACGTGAAAATTATAACGTGATAATATTTAAATATGAGATAATATGTTAAAAATATAACAATTACGTACAAAAAGCATGAAGGAGGGAGGGAAGGATTTTTTTTTTTTGTTGCAATTAGTTTTTTTTGCATTAATTTGAACCCTGTGGTTCATTCTATTTTTATTTGGATGTGATTATTTCTAATCTTATATGACTACAGCTTATGCTTTCCTTATAAGTCTATAGCCTTTTCAAAAATCCTATGACCTATTCCAACATGATTGATTTATAAACTTCTAATGTTTGTGTTTTTGAGATAAAAATAAATGAGATAAAAATAAATGACTAAATCTAAAAATTGCCTTACAGTTTATCATAGCAACAGAATAACAATAAACTAACTCAAGAATAATAATAAGTTAAATGTATTTTGTACACGCATCTGAAAATATTTTACAAGTATTACTAACTATTAAGGTAGTATTTTTGAATTATTATATCATAAATAAGTTAAAAATCCCTGCAATATTTTACAGAACATTTTACCATGCCTAAGCGTTATCTATTGTTAACACCAAAAAAAGTAGAAAATCAGTAAAAATAACAAAACTGATTCAAAAACATACTTTAAAATCGGAGCATAATGTCTGATAAGTTGTCAAGACCACATCTTTCTTAGACAACAATTCAGGGTCCTGCATTTTATCGTTACCATAATAAGTATAGACATCAAGAGAATTTTCTATAAGGTGTGTCTTTATTTGCTCCTGTATTCAAAAAAAAAAAAAAAAAAAATAGCAAAAACTTTATTTATAATGCAGTATTTTTAATGTTTTTAACTTTTTTATCACAAAACATTAATAACATTTACAAGGCAAAATTAAACTACCTGCCAATTAGATAGCACAGAAACAGGGCAAACAATCAAAGTAGCCCTTGGTCCAGGAAATTCAACTCTGGTGCAATTAAATGAAGGTGAGTTTTCTAATATATAGTAATTTATAAATATAATAATAAAATAAAAAGGCCTCAGATTATTTAAAGTATATCAAGGTATATTAGATTTAGGGGCAACCTTTTTAATTTTTACTAAAACCCTCGTATACTTTAAAAAAGAATGAACTTCTAATTAGTTAATTTTTTTTTTTTCAATGTCTGAATAAAAACCAATTAGTTCAAATAAAATATAAAATGCTAGAAGCCATAAACAGAAGTAATAAAATTGAATAGAAATTTACAAAAACAACTTTTATTAAAACTTTAAAAGTGAATTAGTAAAGATTTTTGATATGTAAAGAATGCTTGAAAATTTTTTTTTGGTAAATTTTCAAAAGCTTAAATTACTTCCTTTATATTTTAATGCTAAAATGTTCCAACCTCTGATAGTTTTATTTCTTAAATTGAAAAAATAACTATAATTCATTAAAAAGTTAAACTATAATTTGAAAATCATTAAAAAAAAAGAAGCACTTTTCTGAAATTTTATCATTAGATAAAAAGGTTAACATTACAGAGATTGTTAAACAATGTTTCAATGTTTCATTCAACAGAAAAAAACAATGTTTCATTCATTCATCAATGTTTCATTCATTCATCAGAGTGAAAAACAATCTCAAGTAAAAAAAAAAGAGTAAAAAATTCAATATTTTAAAGTGACATGTTTTTTTTTTTTTTTTTACTATATTGTTGATTAAAATGTTGCAAATACACATAAGGTATAGTCAAAAGATATAAAATATATCTTCATAGTATATGCCTTAAATAAAAGATACTGACAAATTTTAGGATTCTAAACCATTATAAATTGTCAGATATCCATTTATCATGATGTCTAATTGATAAGGAATAAAACAAAATCTAAAGAAAAATAACTTAAATAATATATTTAATATAATTAATATAATTAATATATAATTAATATAATTAATATATAATCATATAATTAATAAGTTAAATGAATATAACATGAGTTATATTAAAAAAAACATTTACAATCTATCAATTAGGAAAGATATTCTGAGTAATAATATTTCCAGAGTATTCTTTCCTTGCAATCAGAAAGCAATCGAAACAGTAAGCTTCCTTGCAATCTGAGCTAATCTAAGTATTTTTAAAAAACTGGCTCTGTACCAGATATTTTTTCATTCTTGTGAAGCTGCTTTTCTCATTCTTGTGAAGCTGCTCATTCTAACTGTAAACATTTCTTTCATCATTTTTATGAGATCAACTCTCTTCAGATCAAATATCTTTTAATTTTTGAAAGAAAGCAAAAAGCGACTAACACTATTGTCGCAAGAGAGGAACAAAAAAGGACAGACACTATTGTTGCAAGAAAGGAATAAAAAGGGACAGACACTATTATTCTCAACAAATCTCATATCTGATCTTAATCATTTTGATCTTTGGAAAATCTTTAACAGTATCGTTTACAAAGGCAAATCTCAAATTTATTTGAATCATTCCTTTCTAACTGCAGTATTTAAGAGTCCTTTGACAGGTAAAACTCTTGTTTATTACCAGTAACTTCTGTGGTACAACAAGGTTCTATCCTTGATCTTGTGTTGCTTTTTATTTATATTAATGATCTTCCAGATAAACCTTAATTCAAACAACTCAGTTGTTTACTGCTTATTACTTACAACTATTATCTACAATTGTAATAATGAATTAACAAATATATTATTATTTCTATATTGTTAAATGGCAACTCTATAATTGAGAGTTAACCTACCCAATTTCAGTTGGTACTAAACTTCTTATTAAAAAGGTTTGTATACAATAGTGTCTGTCCTTTTTTGTTCCTCTCTTGCGACAATAGTGTTAGTCGCTTTTTGCTTTCTTTCAAAAATTAAAAGATATTTGATCTGAAGAGAGTTGATCTCATAAAAATGATGAAAGAAATGTTTACAGTTAGAATGAGCAGCTTCACAAGAATGAGAAAAGCAGCTTCACAAGAATGAAAAAATATCTGGTACAGAGCCAGTTTGTATCACACATTATCAAATAGTGTATCAGCCCATTATCAAATAGTACTTCAACCTGACACTCTTGCACTCTTCTTTAAATTTAGTTATCTAACAAAAACGTCATCAAAATGTTCTGAATTCTACAACTGCTCTTTTCCATTTAGGCTTTTCAACCAATTAATGTAACAATATCAACAATATCAGAGTCATATAACAATACAAACACACTCAGCATAATACTTCTGGTTTGCCTTTTGCTATAAAAAGACTCCAGTCCAGGGAAAAACCATTTGTTATAAAAAGACATTAACACATTTTTTTATTAAAGTTATTTTGCAAATGTTGTATGTTAATAAATGTTAATAGCAAAAAATTATGTAAAAAAGAACAAACTTAATAAATTGTTGTTTAATTACACTTTGTATAATCAAATGTTTTAATAAAGATTGTAAAAGGATAATTGGAAATAAATAGAAAATAATGGTGATGCTAAAGCCAAGATATATCTATTTTTATCTGCACTTAGTATTACAGTAGAATCCCGTTAACTCAAACCCTGGATAAGTCGGACTTTTACTAAGTCGGACAAATTTTCAATTCCCCTTGAATTCTTTATACATACCAAAAGCTTTGCTTAACTCGGACATTCGCGAAGTCTGACAAAATATATATACCCATTAAGAGTCCGAGTTAACGGGATTCTACTGTATGTTTGCAACTTAGTATTATGCCAACAATTTATGTAGCACAATAATGACAATAATGTAAAATGGCTTTAAAATAATAAAATAATAAATAAGAATTTAAATTTAAACTTTTGACATTAAACAATGAACTCCATTTAAAATTAAATTTATTCAATTAAATACATTTTAATGAGGAAATACACTCTCCGATAAAGGAAAAAGGCAAATTGAAGCTTACATCACTACGTTTATCAAAAAGGATAACTGTTTGCAAGATGAGACGCTCACTGTAATTGATCAATAACTTTGTAAATGACCCAACGAATTATTGCACATAGCATCAAAGTGGTAGAAGACCAATGCTGTAAGTATTGTTCTTCTACCAATCACAGCCAACTGTGATGAATTGTGCATGCCGCTAGTAACCACAGTCTCCATGAGACATACTTGAGCTGATTTGGGATTGAAATGCTTAAGATGGATAAATTGTGCAATTAACAAGTTAGGCATTCTCAGAAATGCAAAAAGGTACTAAAGCGCACAAGCGCATTTGTCTTCAATAGGCCAAGGACCAAGGATTAAAATGAATGGATGAAAATGAAAAAAAAAGTATAAGAAAATAAAAGTGATAAAAATGAAAAAAAAATGAATGGCAAAAAATTGTGTGGTCTGATAAAAAAAAATTCAATCTTGATAATCAAGATGGCTAAAGAAAAGCTATGGGGTAATGATTCAGGGTGCGCTAGATTATTATGGAAAAAATATGATTGGTTTTATTACTACTAAATTAAATGTTGAAGGATCAGAAATTTGTTGGCTTATCATTTAAACAATATTTCACAAAAATTTGGAAACACTAATTTTATTTAAAACAATATTTCACAAAATTTAAACAATATTTCACAAAACACAATTACAAAATAATATTTCACAAAACACAAACATTTAAACAATATTTCACAAAAATTTGGAAACACTAATTTATCATGCAAGATAGTGCTACAAATCATAAAGCAAAGTCAAATATTTCATGGTCAAAACCAGCAAGAAAATTCAATTATTGGAATGCACTCACACCCAATTTACATATGGAAAACATATGGGGCATTTAAACATCTATACATGTTTAGAAAAGCATATCTCTTGCCGATCTCAAAAAATATTCAAAAAGTATGCTTAATCGAATAATAGAGGCTATTCATAATTGTGGCAACAAAATAAAGTATTATTAATAAATTCAATTTAAGATACAACACATTAAGATATTTATCAGTCATCAAAAATGCAAACTATACTGAAATTATACTGAAGCCTTAGTTACCTCTATCAATGTTATCTTTGACACTTTTGTCTGCAACAGTATCATTTTTGACAGCACTATCTTTAAATGCAATATCTGTGATACTATCATCTGTTTTATCTAAAAATTTATGAAATTTTTTTCTTTAAAAATAAATAACAAAATAATTATTTATCAAACAATTTAAAAAAATAAATATGGATATGTGAATTGTACAGATCTTGTTCATAAACATCTTTTGTTCAGATTTTAGCCACAAAAAAATTATAAAGATTTTTGAATTAAGTCAAATTAATATGAAAACAAATTAATTAAAAATTAATCAACTGAAATTAATTGGAAAACAACTGACAAAAACAAATCTTCTGTTTCTTTTAATTATTTTTCCTTTAAATTTGGCTTTAAGAGTTGAAGCTTTGGATAGAATTCCACAGAGTTAGTTAAGATTTTATTTGAACAAATAAGACATAAAATATACGATGAAAGATTAAAAAAAAATTAAATTAAAAGATTCATTTAAATAAAAATTGAATTTAAAAAAAAAAAAATTATTAAATATTTGAATAATTTAAGAAATGATAAAAAAAAAAACAAAAAAAAACAACCTATTCTGCAAACATTTTTGTGAACTAAATTATATTTAACTGGTGATTGAAGTTCATCACCACTTTCATCGCTGCTAAAAGTGTAACAAGGCTTCTTTGTAGCAAACCTAAAAAGTTAAAAAACAAACGTTTGGTTACAAAAAAAAAAAAAAAAAGATTTATCTTTGTTTTTATTTTTTGTCAGTTAAAATCGTGTTTTTTTCATTTAAAATAATTCTTAATAAATAATTTTTTTAAAAATTGAAGTCTTTTGAAAAAGAATTTCATTAAGACTATCATCAACACCCTCATTAAGACTATATTTATTTGAAAAGCAAACGAGGGTCTGTAAAATGGATTTGGTGGATTAAATTAGTTTTAAAGTCATTTAAAAGTTGGGGCATATATTGTATTACAAAAATCTGTTAATTTTTAAATCCTAAAATTGAGCACATTCTAGAGAAGCAGGACAGGCTTATTAATTTTTTTCTTTATTAAAATTCAAACCATAATTTCTTTTTAGACCGTCTGCAGCTAGTTAGAATCCTCGCTCCATTAATTAATTTTGAAGAAGAAAAAAAGTTTTAATGTAAAATCTTTTTTCCTATAAAAAAAAAATTGTCTTTTTAATTTTTACATTATTCATTATTCACATTATCACTACTAATTACTTGAGCACATTATTAACATAAGTATTATGGCATATGCGCAACAAATTTCTTCCAGTGTTTTGATGTTTTTAGAAACTGAAAGTTTTTTAAAAACTCTCTCACTTTCGCTCATTATAGTATATGTTACGCGTCGGTTAATGCCTGTTATGTAATGCTTCCTGATTACATGATAGGTAATTGCCTAACTCCAACAAAGGTTATGTGTAGAATAATAACCACTGATACAAAGCGTTATATAATTATAATCTAATTCAAATGTTACGTATTGATACAACTAATTCTCCTTCTCATATATACCTCTCACTATACTACATACTATTATACTACATATATATTTCCTCCATACTCCTCATATATATTCTCTCTTTATATTATTTTATACCCCCTTTTTATATTGTTTTCGAAACAATAAGACATGTCTCGGTTCAATGGTCTCTACTTATGTTTTCATGCTTCCGTAATTAATCTCCTCGCTTGATCATGTATTGTTTCTTTCTAACTGTACGCTTGAGTGAGTATCGATGCTACCTTCACAATAATTGCACGCTTGACTAAGATTGTTACCTTTGTAACATATCTTTACATAACATATATCTAACATATACATAACATATAACTTTATATATATATATATATATATATATATATCTTTATATATCTTTAATAATATCTATTATATCTTGATATCTTTTTATATGTTATGTATATGATATCTATAAAACTTCAAAAATGTTTTATTTTGTATTTAAAAAAACAAAAATGATAAAAAAAAAGGAAGCCTAAGGATGTGAACCACAGCAATGCACTTCAGAAAGACTGCAAGCTAATTAAGATGTATTGTTCATCAAATGTTTTAACATTATTTAATAAACAAAAGGCTTTATAAAATGGCAAATAAATGCTATAAATTAAAAGATAATACAATTTTAAAGTAAAGGTAAAGCTGTAAAAGTTACGTTTATCATTACATAACATTTGATGTTACTTTTAGATAAGTTAGATATTTGTATACACTTTTTGTTCACATTTTTTTATAAAAAAAAAAAGTTGAAACTCTATCTTGCTATTGGGTCATTCCGTGCTAAGTGGTGCAAATTTTAATGAGGTCCCTCATGGACCATCTCAAATTTTATTAAAATTTTTTTATTTTGTACATATATATGTTAAAAGCATGTTTTGAAAATTTTAGATCAATATCTAATATGGTTCTTGAGAAAACGCTATTTAAGTAGTGGGCTATTTTGCATAAAATTTCACTCTACAAGAAAAAAGGTTTTTTTCATCATTTTTAACAGCCAATAACTTTTGAACAATTTAGTTTTATACTTCAGTTATTATAAGATAGCAAGTGTGCTGTAAATACTTTGGAAAAAGAAAAAAAATTTAATTCTGGCATCTTAACTTTTTCCATAATGGCGGGCTAAAGTTGAGATTTTTGTTTTTAAAATATTTTTTTTTGTGATTTTAATGATCTTAATCTTGAAAACTAATTAAAAGATTAATAAAATTGCCTGCTGATCTACATGTGGTGGATAAACATTTTTAAAAAAATCAGTTGATTAAAGAGCTGCATTTAAAAGTTATAGGTCTTTAAAATGAGTCGGATCAAGATTTTTGTAAAATTGATCTGTGATGCAAAGTATCTGTTACCTAAGATGGCACTTTTTTTTTTCATAAAATTTTTTATACACATCAATTAAAGAGTGTTAATTTATAAAAACCAAAAAAATTAATGGGCGCTTATTTATAACCCCCAAAAGGTAGTCTCTAAAAGTCAGGTAAATTTTCCATAAAAAATTATTACTTTTTAAAAGTTAAGTTATTGTTTCCTTTAATTCTATATTACTAGTATGTCAATCTAAAAAGTACTAATAAAACCAATTAAATTGTTGTATTTTAGAACTAATTAATAATAAGTAATATGCCTGAGCTTTCTACTTGCTGTATTGGTAAAGCATTAAATGAACAGTGCTATCTATCTAAAAAAAGTAAATGCTACCAAGAACTGTCTACACTAAACCAAGAGCTTATTTCTTTGAGAAGCAAAATAAATCCCATAGATTTTATTTGTAGCTATCACGAGAAAGTTTACTTGTTGAGGTATGAGAATGAACATCGCAGGTATTGTTGTAATCCATTGAACAAGCACGCAAAAAAAGTGAAAAGTAAGTTTCAATATTTAATATCTTAATTTAATAAAAATACCTTAATAACACTAAATAAATAAAAAAAACAATATTTAATAATTATTTCTGTTATTGGTCTAAAAATTTGCACTAGTTCCAGAAAAGTTCTGAATTGCAAACATAATACAAAAGAAAATGAAGTCCAAGAAAAAGAAATTTATGTTGACAACCATACATTAAAAGAAGATCTTAATTTAAGTATTGCAAGTTTTGGATGCTCACCTCTCAAACTTGTTTCAAAAAAAGATAGAGTTGCATATGGAAAGCATAAAATTGATAGCGTAAGAGCTCATACACAAAAGGCTGTTGCCAATGTGTTAGGTTTAGAAATAGCTGCACTTGGTGGAATTGAATCACCCTCAAAAAAATGTTTGAAAAAAACAAACACAGATTTAGACAATTTTATGACTCAAATTAAGTCAAAATTTGAAAAAACATTGTCAAATTCTGAAAAAATCACACTTCTTACACTCACTCCAGACAGTTGGTCAATAGAGAAAACTCAGAAGTTTTTTTTTGACTTCAAAAAGATCTGTAGTACAAGCCAGAAAATTAAGGAAAAAAAGTGGAATACTATCAAAACCTTCTCCAAAATTGGGTAGAAAACTAAGGGAAGATGTAATTACAGAGGTTGTTCATTTCTATGATTGCGATGAATATTCAAGGGTTTGTCCAGGAAAAAAAGAATTTGTTTCAGTTAAAGTAGATAGTATAAAGCAATATATCCAAAGGCAACTTCTACAAGCCAATATGAAAGAGCTACATATTGAGTTTAAAAAGAAATATAATTATCTTAAAGTTGGATTTTCAAAATTTTGTGAGCTAAGGCCCAAGTGGTGCATTCCTGTGGGTGGCGCTTCTGGTCTGCATGCAGTTTGTGTTTGCCAGTACCATGAAAATGTAAAGCTCCTTGTACAGAGAATTCCTGGAATTGCTGATTACAAAATCTTATTGAAATTAATGGTTTGTAGCATTGAAAATAGAGATTGTATGCTGCATAGGTGCAATAAATGTCCTGCTAAAAAGGTTTTGTTAGACTACATTGACACTTTGTTTACAGAAAATGAAATTAGCGAAGTTAACTTTTATCAATGGCAAAAATCAAACTACCAATGTACTTTAGTACCAGCAACTCTACCTTTAGATGAATTTATTGAAATGGTTTATGAACAGTTAGATAGTTTACGAGAGCATCATTTTATATCCAAAAGTCAAGCCACCTACTACCAACATTTGAAAACTAATTTAAAAGAAAATCAAGCTTTGGTTCTTCTTGACTTTGCAGAAAACTATAGTTTTATAATACGGGATGCAGTGCAAGGTTTTCACTGGAATAACAGCCAAGCAACTGTGCACCCCTTTGTTTGCGTATTTTAAAAAAGATGGAAAACTTGATAGTCAAAGTTATTGTGTTATATCAGATCATCTGAAACATGGAACAGATGCTGTTCATTGCTTTATCGGTAATGTTATTGATAAACTTAAACAATTACAAACATTTGAACACATTATCTATTTTAGTGATGGAGCTGCATCACAATATAAAAATTACAAATATCTTATCAACTTATGCTACCATAAACACGATTTTGACATGACTGCAGAGTGGCACTTTTTTGCAACATCGCATGGTAAAAGCCCTTGTGATGGTGTTAGTGGAACAGTGAAACGTCTTGTTGCATGAGCCAGTCTACAATCACTAAACAATCCTATTGACACACCAAGCAAAATGTACACCTGGTGTGTTCAACACGTCAAAGGAATATCTTTTTTTATTTGTTGACAAAGTTTCAATAGAAACACATACTACAAACTTCAATTTGGAAGAGAGATATCGTTCTTGTTCTACAATAACTGGGACACGAAACCACCACAGTTTTATCCTAATGTCACTTACCTCAATAAAAATAAGAAGAGTCTCATTTGATATTATTTGCACTAATGTGGATTTTTCTACTTGCAGAATTTTTATTAATAAAATTTCAAGTTACTCACCAGGAGAATATGTGGCCTGCGTTTACGATGCTCAATGGTATTTAGGAAATATTCTTAGTATTTATAGAATAGATATATAGAAGAGCATCAAGATCTTAATATGAAATTCATGAAAAAGTCTTTATGTAACAAGTTCACGTGGCCATGCAGAGATGATCTTTGTTGGGTACCTCTGATGCATATTTTATGCAAAGTGCAATCTCTTTAAGTCCAGTCAAACAGTGGAAGATTTTATAGTATTGACTTGAAAGAAATCAATGAGATTATTTTATTATT